TAGACTAGACTATAGACTAGACTATAGACTAGACTATAGACTAGACTATAGTCTAGACTGTAGACTATAGTCTAGACTGTAGACTATAGTCTAGACTGTAGACTATAGTCCTTAGACTATATACTATAGATTATAGACTACACTATGTATTATAGACTAGACTAAACAGGACTATAGACCAGACTACAGACTAGACTACAGACTAATGTATAGACCAGACTTTAGACTAAACTATAGACAGGATTCTAGATTAAACTATAGACTAGATTCTTGATTAAACTATAGACTATAGTTTTGTCTAAATAAAGTTGCACAAATTATATTTTAGCGACATCTACATACATATTGATATACTTACATTTGCATTTATATACGCAAAATCCTTAGCTACTTTAGGATGTTAACGTCATATCCAGTGACGTCACTATAACGAAACTGATAAACGCACAAAACAAATTTCACAAACAACAACAACGTCCAAAAGTCACAACCAACAACAACAACAGTATGTAGCCTGATGCACTACAAAAACCATTAACACAAAAACAATGCTGAATAAATGTCAGCAAGACAACAACAAACATAATATGGAAAACATATGATTATTAAATAGGTAATAAAATTTAACAAATTCATTTAAAATAAATTTTTCTAGCAACTTGTCTCATATTTACATGGTTTGTTGTAAAGTATGGAAAAACAAACTTACCTTTCATTTAACTATTCGATTCCTTAACAAAGTAATGGTGGGAGCCGGCAGCTTCCAGAATCTTCTCAATTTTGTGTAGGAAAAAACACTTAAGCATATTATTACGCATTTATTTATCATTTTCACTTATTTTAAACAAATTAACACTATAAATCATTTATTTTTTAATGAATAACTTTACAAAAACCATAATTTACACTCGCGTTTATTAATTTTAACAAATTTGCATCCGCTTCGTTTAAAGTTTAAAAGAGAACTAATAAGAAGTAGAAAGCGAATGAAAGGGAATAGTTGAAATGTCAGAATAAATTTTCTACTGTTTTTCTTGACATTTTTGAAGTATGCTATTGAATTTGCGTACAAACAGCAAAAATGTTTACGCAAAGTTAGTTAGTTAGTTAGTTAGCTAGTTAGCTAGTTAGCTAGTTAGTTAGTAGTTAGTTAGTAGTTAGTTAGTTAGTTAGTTAGTTCGTTAGTTAGTTAGTTAGTTAGTTAGTTTTTTTTTTTTAGTTAGTTAGTTAGTTAGTTAGTAGTTAGTTAGTTAGTTAGTTAGTTAGTTAGTTAGTTAGTTAGTTAGTAGTAGTTAGTTAGTTAGTTGTTAGTTAGTTAGTTAGTAGTTAGTTAGTTAGTTAGTTAGTTAGTTAGTTAGTTAGTTAGTTAGTTAGTTAGTTAGTTAGTTAGTTAGTTAGTTAGTTAAGTTAGTAGTTAGTTAGTTAGTTAGTTAGTTAGTTAGTTAGTTAGTTAGTTAGTTAGTTAGTTAGTTAGTTAGTTAGTTAGTTAGTTAGTTAGTTAGTTAGTTAGTTAGTTAGTTAGTTAGTTAGTTAGTTAGTAGTTAGTTAGTTAGTAGTTAGTTAGTTAGTTAGTTAGTTAGTTAGTTAGTTAGTTAGTTAGTTAGTAGTTAGTTAGTTAGTTAGTTAGTTAGTTAGTTAGTTAGTTAGTTAGTTAGTTAGTTAGTTCGTTAGTAGTTAGTAGTTAGTTAGTTAGTTAGTTAGTTAGTTAGTTAGTTAGTTAGTTAGTTAGTTAGTTAGTTAGTTAGTTAGTTAGTTAGTAGTTAGTTAGTTAGTTAGTTAGTTAGTTAGTTAGTTAGTAGTTAGTTAGTAGTTAGTTAGTTAGTTAGTTAGTTAGTTAGTTAGTTAGTTAGTTAGTTAGTTAGTTAGTTAGTTAGTTAGTTAGTTAGTTAGTTAGTTAGTTAGTTAGTTAGTTAGTTAGTTAGTTAGTTAGTTAGTTAGTTAGTTAGTTAGTTAGTTAGTTAGTTAGTTAGTTAGTTAGTTAGTTAGTTAGTTAGTTAGTAGTTAGTTAGTTAGTTAGTTAGTTCGTTAGTTAGTTAGTTCGTTAGTTAGTTAGTTAGTTAGTTAGTTAGTTAGTTAGTTAGTTAGTTAGTTAGTTAGTTAGTTAGTTAGTAGTTAGTTAGTAGTTAGTTAGTTAGTTAGTTAGTTAGTTAGTTAGTTAGTAGTTAGTTAGTTAGTTAGTTAGTTAGTTAGTTAGTTAGTTAGTTAGTTAGTTAGTTAGTTAGTTAGTTAGTAGTGTTAGTTAGTTAGTTAGTTAGTTAGTTTCGTTAGTTAGTTAGTAGTAGTTAGTTAGTTAGTTAGTTAGTTAGTTAGTTAGTTAGTTAGTTAGTTAGTTAGTTAGTTAGTTAGTTAGTTAGTTAGTTAGTTAGTTAGTTAGTTAGTTAGTTAGTTAGTTAGTTAGTTAGTTAGTTAGTTAGTTAGTTAGTTAGTTAGTTAGTAGTTAGTTAGTTAGTTAGTAGTTAGTTAGTTAGTTAGTTAGTTATTTAGTTAGTTAGTTAGTTAGTTAGTTAGTTAGTTAGTTAGTTAGTTAGTTAGTTAGTTAGTTAGTTAGTTAGTTAGTTAGTTAGTTAGTTAGTTAGTTAGTTAGTTAGTAGTTAGTTAGTTAGTTAGTTAGTTAGTTAGTTAGTTAGTAGTTAGTTAGTTAGTTAGTTAGTTAGTTCGTTAGTTAGTTAGTTAGTTAGTTAGTTAGTTAGTTAGTTAGTTAGTTAGTTAGTTAGTTAGTTAGTTAGTTAGTTAGTTAGTTAGTTAGTTAGTTAGTTAGTTAGTTAGTTAGTTAGTTAGTTAGTTAGTTAGTTAGTTAGTTAGTTAGTTAGTTAGTTAGTTAGTTAGTTAGTTAGTTAGTTAGTTAGTTAGTTAGTTAGTTAGTTAGTTAGTTAGTTAGTTAGTTAGTTAGTTAGTTAGTTAGTTAGTTAGTTAGTTAGTTAGTTAGTTAGTTAGTTAGTTAGTTAGTTAGTTAGTTAGTTAGTTAGTTAGTTAGTTAGTTAGTAGTTAGTTAGTTAGTTAGTTAGTTAGTTAGTTAGTTAGTTAGTTAGTTAGTTAGTTAGTTAGTTAGTTAGTTAGTTAGTTAGTTAGTTAGTTAGTTAGTTAGTTAGTTAGTAGTTAGTTAGTTAGTTAGTTAGTTAGTTAGTTAGTTAGTTAGTTAGTAGTTAGTTAGTTAGTAGTAGTTAGTTAGTAGTTAGTTAGTTAGTTAGTTAGTTAGTTAGTTAGTTAGTTAGTAGTTAGTTAGTTATTAGTTAGTTAGTTAGTTAGTAGTTAGTTAGTTAGTTAGTTAGTTAGTTAGTTAGTTAGTTAGTTAGTTAGTTAGTTAGTTAGTTAGTTAGTAGTTAGTTAGTTAGTTAGTTAGGTTAGTTAGTTAGTTAGTTAGTTAGTTAGTTAGTTAGTTAGTTAGTTAGTTAGTTAGTTAGTTAGTTAGTTAGTTAGTTAGTTAGTTAGTTAGTTAGTTAGTTAGTTAGTTAGTAGTTAGTTAGTTAGTTAGTTAGTTAGTAGTTAGTTAGTTAGTTAGTTAGGTTAGTAGTTAGTTAGTTAGTAGTTAGTTAGTTAGTTAGTTAGTTAGTTAGTTAGTTAGTTAGTTAGTTAGTTAGTTAGTTAGTTAGTTAGTTAGTTAGTTAGTTAGTTAGTAGTTAGTTAGTTAGTTAGTTAGTTAGTTAGTTAGTTAGTTAGTTAGTTAGTTAGTAGTTAGTTAGTTAGTTAGTTAGTTAGTTAGTTAGTTAGTTAGTTAGTTAGTTAGTTAGTTAGTTAGTTAGTTAGTTAGTTAGTTAGTTAGTTAGTTAGTAGTTAGTTAGTAGTTAGTTAGTTAGTTAGTTAGTAGTTAGTTAGTTAGTTAGTTAGTTAGTTAGTTAGTTAGTTAGTTAGTTAGTTAGTTAGTTAGTTAGTTAGTTAGTTAGTTAGTTAGTAGTTAGTTAGTTAGTTAGTTAGTTAGTTAGTTAGTTAGTTAGTTAGTTAGTAGTTAGTTAGTTAGTTAGTTAGTTAGTTAGTTAGTTAGTTAGTTAGTTAGTTAGTTAGTAGTTAGTTAGTTAGTTAGTTAGTTAGTTAGTTAGTTAGTTAGTTAGTTAGTTAGTAGTTAGTTAGTTAGTTAGTTAGTTAGTTAGTTAGTTAGTTAGTTAGTAGTTAGTTAGTAGTTAGTTAGTTAGTTAGTTAGTTAGTTAGTTAGTTAGTTAGTTAGTTAGTTAGTTAGTTAGTAGTTAGTTAGTTAGTTAGTTAGTTAGTTAGTTAGTTAGTTAGTTAGTTAGTTAGTAGTTAGTTAGTTAGTTAGTTAGTAGTTAGTTAGTTAGTTAGTTAGTTAGTTAGTTAGTTAGTTAGTTAGTTAGTTAGTTAGTTAGTTAGTTAGTTAGTTAGTTAGTAGTTAGTTAGTTAGTTAGTTAGTTAGTTAGTTAGTAGTAGTTAGTTAGTTAGTTAGTTAGTTAGTTAGTTAGTTAGTTAGTTAGTTAGTTAGTTAGTTAGTTAGTTAGTTAGTAGTTAGTTAGTAGTTAGTTAGTAGTTAGTTAGTTAGTTAGTTAGTTAGTTAGTTAGTTAGTTAGTTAGTTAGTTAGTTAGTTAGTTAGTTAGTTAGTTAGTTAGTTAGTAGTAGTTAGTTAGTTATAGACAAACATACGTTTGTATGCACATAAATTATGTCACAATTTGCTTTTGTATTCTCCTAAATAAAAAATTACAAATCTAGATAAGAATTAAAAAACCCAAACAATAATTTGTCCCAAACAATTAAACGCGTGTTTCTATTAAAACCAAAACACAAAAATGCTTTTATTCTCCAACTCCAATTTAATATAATTTGTGTAACAAAATCCTAGTAAAAAACATTTGTCATAATTTAGTCGTTAAACGAACTTAACCAAATCAATAGCTAAATTTGTTGTAGTAGTTACATAAATAAGAAAATTATTAATTTTCAGTTAACATTTGATATGACCTTCTGCAAAAAACTAACAAAAAAATGTCCAAAAAAAGTTTAAAAATTCGTGAAATATTCGATACCCTTATAATTTTTCGTCGCAGTTTGATATTTCAAACTAAAGAATTCTTTCAAAATTCTACTTTGCATGGTGTGCGTTATATAGCCGAGACTGGGAGGCCAGTGGGTGAGAAGTAAGTTAGGGTTGATATTCAAAAAAGTTTTTAATATACCTATTTAACAAATAATTGCATTTTCTTAAGGTTTATGTGGTTTTGTTTTACCTCTATTGGGGCTGTCACTGCCTTAGTGATTATTATGAGTTTATGGGAGAAATTTCAAACGAATCCCACCATTACGGGTAAGAAAATTCTAGAAAGTTCGGCTTTAAGTTAGGTAATAAGTTAATATATAATATTATTTTATTTCCTTAGGTTTGGACACCGATTTCCATAATCAAAATGTGGTATTTCCTACTACAGTAGTTTGTCCGGAAATTGCTTTCGATCACGAGAAGGCCTATACCGTCGCTTACAAAAATATAGCGTAAGTTGAGTTGAATGTATATAAACTATTGATTTTTTATTAATTAAAATTTAGTAACTATGATGAAACATCTGCTGGATATATGGTTCCATTTTTGGAACTTTTACCCACTCTTTCCTTTGAGACATTGAATGAAGCCTCCTTAATAGCCAGTTCAGTAGAAATGAATAATATTCATGAGAAAACTTTGCGTCATTGGGCCTATATGGTGAGTCAGTGAGATTATAATATAGGGATATAGTACGTAATATACTGGTCTATAGTCCTGACTGTGGACTGTTCGATAGTCCAAACTGTAGAATTTTCTACAGTCCAGACTATGGACTGTTCTATAATCCAGACTATATATGGTTCTACAGTCCAGAATATAGACGGTTCTATAGTCCAGACTATAAACGGTTCTATAGTCCAGAATATAGACGGTTCTATAGTCCAGACTATAAACGGTTCTATAGTCTAGACTATAAACGGTTCTATAGTCCAGACTATAAACGGTTCTATAGTCCAGAATTTTGACGGTTCTATAGTCCAGACTATAAACGGTTCTATAGTCCAGACTATAAACGGTTCTATAGTCCAGACTATAAACGGTTCTATAGTCCAGACTATAGACAGTTTTATAGTCCAGACTATAGACGGTTCTATATCGACGGCTCTAAAGTCTGGACTATCGACGGCTCCATAGTCCGGACTATCGACGGCTCCATAGTACAGATTATAGACGGTTGTATAGTCCAGACTATAGAGGTTCTGTAGTCCTGACTATAACGGTTCTATAGTCCAGACTATAGACGGTTCTATATTCCTATACTATTCTATAGTCTATTCTGTTCTATAATTCAGTCTATATACTGTTCTGCGGTCTAAAAAATAAACTTACTACATATATTCTTTTTCAGACCTTTATCAAGTGCGAAGATGTTTTGATCGAATGCAAGTATCGTGATGAGCCCATTAAATGTTGCAGCCATTTTGAACCGGTCTATACTGAGCATGGGTTTTGTTTTGCTTTTAACAGTCGCTTCAAGTCCTTAGAAGATGCAGAGTAAGTTCCTTTAAAAATAAACATATAAATCATTTAACTAACAGCAATATAAATCGATTTAGTCAAAAAACTGGACCTCCTCATGATTTGTATGAAACCGATAAAAAATGGGCCTTATTTTTTGTACCCAATAGCACTGTTAAGGTAAGATATCATTTCTTGACTTGATTTTGTATTTGATTATAATTCAGTATTATTTTTATAGATTTTCATTTTCTCTAATGAGGAGTATTTTGGTCAGGATTTTAATCCTCAAATCGAGTGGTCTGAAAATCAGGTGGTGGAAGTTCGCATTTCGAAAAAGAATACCTATACAACCGATGATGCTCGTCAGTTGTCGATAGGGTGAGTTATAGAACTATTTGTCCACTTTTAGAATATTGAAATGTTTTGAATTAAATTTAATGATCAGGATCCTCAAATTTTAGAATATCACATTTGTAAAAAATTTCGAGTTGATTTAATAATGATTTAGAAAGCTTGAGATAATATATTGCGATAGTGCTTGTCGATAGTTGGGGCCTATAAAGTCTGAACAATGTAAAGCTTTATTATAAATTTTCATTACAGCCAACGCAAGTGTATTTTCCATGATGAAATCAAATTGAAATACTTTCCCGAAGAATATACCTTTTCATCGTGTATGAAGGAATGTCGTATGAAAAAGGCCATTAAACTTTGTAAATGTAATCCTCCTTTCTACAAGCCGATACGTAAGTTCCGGAATGTTATGCTATTAGAACGTTATTTAATCTAAATATAATCCTTAGAAAATGTACCCATGTGTGGCATAAACGATTTGGATTGTTTGAGTCTATATAAACATAATATAACCAATATCAAAGATTGTCTGCAATGTGAATTGAGTTGTTCGAAAACCGTTTTTAATATCGAGAAATTAATTAAAAAGTAAATAAACGTGAGAATATAGACTAGAATATAGTTCAGACCAATATTTTACACACAATAGACCAGAATATAGTTCGGACTACTAGTCAGACTATATCCCAGAATATAGTACACACTACAGTCTAGACAATAGACCAGACTATAAACCAAAGTAGAGACTAGACTAGATTAGACCAGAATATACATATATTAGACTATAGACCACTCTATAGACCAGACTATAGAACAGATTTTAGACTAGACTGTAATAAGGACTATAGTTCAGACTATGCTATAGTTCAGACTATAGCGTTGCTATAAACAAGATTATAGTTTAGATTATAGACAAAACTATAATCCCGACTATACACAGTACTATAGTTCAGACTATGGACAAGATTCTAGTCCAGTTTATAGACAATACTACACACAAGACTATAGTTTAGACTATAGACTAGGCTATAGTCCAGACTATAGACTAGGCTATAGTCCAGACTATAGACTATATTATAGTTCAGACTATAAACAAAACTGTAGCTATCCTATAAACTATACTATAGACCAAACTGTGGACCAGACAATATAAAAGACTGTAGACCGGACTGTAGACAAGACTATAGACAAGAATATAGAAAAGGCTATAGACAAGACCATAGACCAGACTATAGTCCAGACTATGGACAAGGTATAGTCCAGACTATAGACAAGGCTATAGTCGAGACTAGGCTATTGTCCAGAATATAGACTAGGCTAAAATCCAGACTAGACTATAAACTAGATTATAGTCCAGATTTTACACTAGACTACAGTCCGAAGTTTAAACAGTAAATTACAGAGCAACGATTTGTTAAAGTTATATATATATATATAAATTTCAGCATTGAACGTCCCGAGGCTCCCGGTGTTTTGGTGGAATTTCTTACTTGGCCTATTATACGCTATAAACGAGAGGTTTTGTTTGGGTGGGTTGATCTACTGGTGTCTTTTGGTGGAATTGCCAGTTTATTCTTGGGTTTCTCTTTGCTATCGGGCGTAGAGATTATTTACTATTTTACTTTGAGAGCCTGTTGTATGGTCTATAAAAATCGGGTAACTACCACCCTAATACCTTTTTGAAATAATTATTTAATTAATTAAAAATTTCAGCAACAACTTTACGAAATTGAAGAACGCATTAAAAACGAACCTCCACCACCCATTAATATGACTTTAAAGCTACAAAGCTATGCTTTGGCCAGACCAACAGTGGTAGAGGAAAAGGCACCTATAATTAAGGATTCTACAAATTTAGTGACAAGTCGTTTTAGTGATAATCCTCCGGAATATAATGAGCTTGGTGGAAGGAGACGTAAAGCAGAGAAGGTAACTGAAATTGTTGGTATAAGTTAATGTTGTAATCAATTTATTTTTTTTTTTAATTTTTAGGACTATACCAACTATACGAAATCTTTGTATAAAACCCCCAAAGTTTTGCCCAGTTATGAGGACAGTCTTAATCCGAAATGGCAGTACGGGCAATATTTACCTTGAATTTTAAACAAAAGTAATGAAAATTTTAAAATAAATAATAAAAAATGTATATGTATGTATGCAACGCACCAATTGCACAGTTAAACCTCAATAAATATCTAATATATATGAATTTTATATAAAGTTTTTCAATAAGTTAGAGGAGGGGACCGTGAACAAAATTCTCCCGTAAGGAATGTACGTGTTTGTGTCTTGAACGCAACCAAACTTGCAAATAAGAAAAAAAAACAAATTTGCTCCAAGCTGGCGCCATCTGCTGATTGCTAGCAAATGAACGTAAATTACTTAGCAAATTCGACAACCATATATTAACAATTCACAATAATTAATATTTAAAAGTGGCTTTCAAAAAACGTTAAAAATATCAGAAGGGCCTAAGGTTTGGTTGGCTATTTCCAGGAGAGTTAATATACAACTTGTATAGACATTTTTGGCTCCCTTGGTTATATAATGACTGACATTTTTTTTATATATAACCAGAACAACTTCAATTAAAATTCATCTATCTATCTACATATCTATCTATCTATCTATCTATCTATCTATCTATCTATCTATCTATCTATCTATCTATATCTATATATCTATCTATCTATCTATCTATCTATCTATCTATCTATTTACCTATCTATTTATCTATTTATCTATATATCTATCTATCTATCTATCTATCTATCTATCTATCTATCTATCTATCTATCTATCTATCTATCTATCTATCTATCTATCTATCTATCTATCTATCTATCTATCTATCTATCTATCTATCTATCTATCTATCTATCTATCTATCTATCTATCTATCTATCTATCTATCTATCTATCTATCTATCTATCTATCTATCTATCTATCTATCTATCTATCTATCTATCTATCTATCTATCTATCTATCTATCTATCTATCTATCTATCTATCTATCTATCTATCTATCTATCTATCTACCTATCTATCTATCTATCTATCTATCTATCTATCTATCTATCTATCTATCTATCTATCTATCTATCTATCTATCTATCTATCTATCTATCTATCTATCTATCTATCTATCTATCTATCTATCTATCTATCTATCTATCTATCTATCTATCTATCTATCTATCTATCTATCTATCTATCTATCTATCTATCTATCTATCTATCTATCTATCTATCTATCTATCTATCTATCTATCTATCTATCTATCTATCTATCTATCTATCTATCTATCTATCTATCTATCTATCTATCTATCTATCTATCTATCTATCTATCTATCTATCTATCTATCTATCTATCTATCTATCTATCTATCTATCTATCTACCTATCTATCTATCTATCTATCTATCTATCTGTCTACCTATAGTAACGATTTTAGCACGATATTCTTTTCTGCAAAAAGTGCCAGTACATTAGTAGAATATCGATTTTCGGAAATAATGGAAGAAAGAAATTTTTCTATAAAATCTAACCTACAAAATACCACTCATGTATCTTAAAGCATATATCTGTAACATATGCATTTACATATGTGAAATTAATATGAATTTTAAATATGTCCTTCAGTTGACATTAATCTTTCTTTAATTTTGTGGAAATATAGATATATCAGCTTAAAAATGTGTGTTTATCCTTTGACATGTGTCGCTGACAGATATCACGCGTTATTTATTTTAAAATGAGACAATTCCTACCTAAAAGTATTTAAACAACTGTTTAATACTTGCGCTATCATAAATTACAACAATAATGTAAACATTAATATTTTTCCAAAGAAAACCCTTAAATATTTGTTTAATTTAAAGGGAATTAGTAAAATTCGAACATTTTAAGTACCTAAAGCAACAATATATACAAAGTAATCGATTACTCACTTAAAATGCAACCCTGTTCTACTTAAACACAAAAAACAGGTAGACAAAGTAAACACAGCCGAGCGCGTCAAATGTCAAAATAGAAAATTTTTTTAAATTACTAACGGCAGTTGCTTGTTTTGCCTCTACATGAAAAGTTTGTGGAAGAAATTAAACTAAAATAGAAAAAAACGTGAATATTTAAATTAATTATTTAGATTTTGCAGTGTTAATAAAAAGTTTAAACAAATTTTTGGATAAATTGTCAAAGTTATAAAAGAACGAATAATTTGCAAGTGTTAAACGAGAGAAATAAGTCATAGATAAATATAGAATTTGGAAAACAATTTGGTTTGATTGAAAATAAAAATTTTTGTGAATAATTAAGCATTTTGTGGATTGAAAAAAAGGCGCGCGGTAAAAGTAACAAACAAATGTAAATAAAAAATTTATTAAATTATTGGCATTTTGCATAGAAAATGAAAATTATTGCAAATGTAAAGGAATTTTTGGCCACACAAACATAGACAAGCCAAAAACGTAAAAGTAAAAAAAATTCCGTCGAAGTAAACAATTGAAATTGTTCACATTGGGTGGAACAGAAAAACATATTCATAGAATAGAATTTTTTCGTTTGAAAAATAAAAACAACAAAACACAAGACAAACAACATGGATATGCGCAGCTGGAAAAAAGTACTGTTGCAATGGGTAAGTGACAAAAGAGAAAATGAAGAAAACACGTTTAGGGCTTAAGAAAAATAACAAGAAAAAAGGATCAAGCTAAAGAAAGAAGGAAAAAGGAATAGAATTGTAAAAGTAAATTTGTTTTTCTTTATTTTCTAGATCACAGAATGTGGTTTTATGGATCGTAATTATTTCAATATCGAACAATCCGATATTGATGTTTTCTATCAGAATTTTAGTTTACAACACCAAAAGACCGCCACAGATAAATACAAACGTTTGGGAGATTTTCTAAAAGGTAATAATGTTCTAAATATAAAATCTATTCTATACTAATTTCCCATTTTCCAGAATTCTATCCCAGCTTTGAAATCAATTTCGATGATGAGAACTGCCTCAGTTCTGCCGATTACATTTACGTCTATTCCCTGTTGCTGCACTTTTGTTGTGTCAAACATCCGGAGACAGTATTCCATGAGATATGCCAACGTTTACCCGACAATGCCCAACAATGTATTGCGGCGTTTTTCAAGGAATTACTGGACACCGAACCCATTACCAAGGAGGCTTTGCGTCATGCCATTGCCGAGGTGGCCAATTCACAGTGTTCACCTCCACGTCTTAATGATTCATTTTCGAGTAGTATAACTAGTGTTAGTGTTGGTGGCATGAGTGCCGCTTCGTTTACACGTTGTGAATCACCATTGAAAACACCAAAACGCTGCGCCGGACCGCAACGCATATCACCTTCAACCCCTAAATCGTATTTGCTCGAAGAGCGTACTAGAGAATTGTATAATTTAAGGGTGAGTTTTTTTTTATGATGATAATTATAATAAACATGATCATTTTTAAATATTTTTATATTTATAGAAAATTTTCGAAAATTTCTCTTTTTTATAGGAAATTGTTTAAAATTTCCTTTTTTATAGAAAATTTTCAAAAATTTCCTTTTTTATAGAAAATTTTTAAAAATTTATTTTTTTATAGAAAATTTTTAAAAAGTTATATTTTTGGGAAAATTTTTAACAATTTCTATATTTTATAGAAATTTTTCGAAAATTATTTTTTATAGAAAATTTTTAAAAATTTATTTTTTTATAGAAAATTTTTAAAAATTTATATTTTTGGGAAAATTTTTAACAATTTCTATATTTTATAGAAATTTTTCGAAAATTAAATTTTTTACAGAAAAATTTCAAAAATTCACTTTTTTATAGAAAAATTTTCAAAATATCTCCTTTTTACAGAAAGTGTATCTTTTTTATAGAAAATTGCCTTTTTATATGAAAGCTTTTCGTAAATTTCTCTTTTTTTATAGAAATTTTTCTAATTTTTTTTACTTAAATTTTCTGAAAATGTATCTTTTTTATAAAAATTTTTCGAAAATTTCTATTTTTATAGAAATTTTTTCTTTTTCTATATAATTTCGGAAATTTTTGAGATCAGTCTTGAACATTTTCTATAAAATTATTTCTTTTTAAAAAATGTGGATAAATCATATGGATAACTTGTAATTAACAAATTCTTAATTTTCTTTACTCGTTAGGCTCAACTTGAAACGGAACGTTATGAGAAGGGTCTCTTAGAAGTACAAATCAAACAAAATGAGGATAAAATCCAAAAATTAAGTAAGTATTGCTTTTAAGATATTAGTTTATTTATGAACTATGTATTTTAAAAGTTTTTATTTAATTAAAATAAATTGAATCAAATTTAACTTCAAAATATAAAAAGCTGTTTTAATTTCACAATATTTGACATTCTAAAAATTATGATTGTTTATAATATCCTTAAAATCCTTTTCAGATCATGATCATAAAAGACTACTTCAGCAAATCCAAGATTTGAAAAATGACATTCTAGTTAAAACCACTGATGGTTCTACGAATCGTGATGGTGAAGAAAATCAGGTAAATTAAATTAATCCTGCAGAAAACTTTCCACTTAAAAACAATACACGTTGTAGTTAGCGAATTTCTAAGGAAGGCAGGTAGCAAAAAAATTAAACACAATTACAATAATTGTAAAGGTGGAAATTGTAGTAATTTTTGAGTAAGAAAATATTTTATCATCTCCATTAAATTAAAGGCGTTAATACATGGATTTTACATTTTTGATGTTTAACCAAATTAAAATGTATTTATTTTTATTTTTGCACATTTTTCTGTCATTCAGCTTTTTTGAAACCGAAGACATTGTGAAAATTTTTGTGTAATTCCTGCAGTGTAGGTCTAGTTCTGCTCGAGTTAAGTTCCACTTCAGTTCTAGTTCAATTCCATTTTAGGTCTAGTTCAGTTTTTGTTTAGTTTTCAGTTTTATTTCAGTTCTATTTCAGTTCTAGTTCAGTTTTAGTTCAGTTTTAGTTCAGTTCTAGTTCTGTTCCAGTTCAGTTTTAGTTCAGTTCTAGTTCAGTTCTAGTTCAGTTCTAGTTCAGTTCTAGTTCAGTTCTAGTTCAGTTCTAGTTCTAGTTCAGT